AGGCGATTAAGACCCCTGCTTTCCTGAACGAGCCTACTCTAACCAGAGCCCTTGGCTTTCCATTTTCTGAGACACTGAGTCACTTCCTCTCTCCAGCTCTCGCCTTCGAGCCTCCCTTTTCCCTTCCCTGGAGAAGTGACTCACTACTAAAGTGTTGGGTGACACCGAGGATCAAGGATGGGCGATAAAAATACTCTTGACTGTGCAACTTGAGGACAGGGGATACAGTTTGGATGGAGAATTCAACACGCTGCCCATGAACTCTAAGGCTGGGGTGTTAACAATGGCCACAGTTTCATCTCTCTGAGGAAGTGGAGAAAAGAAAGGAGTTCAAACACACATTCACCAGAGCTGGATTTGCTGTGGAGCCCCTTGATCTGCCCTTTTAAAGGTATATTTCTGAGAAAGGCACATAAAGGCAGGCACTTAGTATGACAAATGTAGATCACGGAGGCCTGGGCCCCTCCCATCAGCCCTGTAGGGCCTGGCTGGGGCCCTGAGAGCAGGCCTGTTTCTTTCTGGGTTTTCTCTCTAGTGAAAACAACTGTACTTCGCCAGCATGGGAAGAATGAGAGAAGCCAATGTGACAGATTCAGGCTCTGGGCTGGGCACTACTGACACCAGAGACCGCTTAGAGCAGGGTTACTGAAGACTGCTCTGCGTGCAAACATCAATAGCAACAGCCCAGCTGTTTTCCCAGATGGAAACTCACCTTCCTTCATCCAATTCACTGGATGCAAACTAGATATTTTCTTCTCCTAATTAATCTTCATGGGCCTCAAGGCTGAGCAAAACAAAACACAATTTTCTCTAAAGGATGACTCCCCAGCCAGGTCACAAGCTATTCAAGACTCAGGAACCGAGGCAGCAAAGTCACCCCATCCAAGAGGCCAAACAAATGGGAGCAGAGACACTCATAAAAATGAAGAGAAATCTATGTGTGTACGTGTGTGTGTACTGGAGGGAGGATGCAGCTGAGAATGTTACAACAGGAGAATTCATGCTACAAAATCTTAATTCTCTGGGAAATTAAGGCAAAAAGAAAACAATATGCCTTAAAAGCTGTTGGTGCAATTCCACGAGACTGAGACACTTGGCTCAGCAATGATGGTCAGTTTGCTTTTTAAAGGTATCTCAACTACAAAGTGCTCTTCCCATAGTCGGGAACCTTCTCCGCCAACACGTGTACACGAGTACACACATGTGTGTGAGCCCTGCCTTCTATGGGAGGATATGCGACCCACGGAGCTCTTTAAAGTCCCCCAACCTCAGCTGGTGAGTCACTGGCAGGAGGAGGAGGAGGTCCTGGGACACTGCTGCAGGTTCCCAGCATCAGAGTAACAGTTCATAGAAATGCAAACCTCCCCACACGATGTGCCAGACACTCACATGTCCCAACTCACTGCAGAGAGGCTGGGGAGCGTAGGCCAGACTCCGTAGAACACTCCATGTCTAACCAGGCAATCTCAGACGAGAAGATGCCCAGTGACTTTTCCTCCCAGGTCCCTACAAGTGCTGGCAGGCACCGTCCCTGAGCGAGGCTCTCCTCAGTGGCACAGAGGAGCTGCTTCTCATGCTTCCGGAACCCGGCCGGGCAGGCAGTGGGAAGGGAGGCGCCAACAAGGCCACGGAGACTTTTCAACTGATCATCTTGGGAAAAGCCAGATACAAATTTCACGGCTGGAATGCAAGGGTTGTGAAATGCTGGAAGGAGCCCCAAAGAGGGCTAAGGACTCTCCTTCCGGGAAGGGAGTGGGTGGAGGGCTGGCAAGGGCTGGTGGGAGAGGAGCAGGTTGCCCAGAGGGGCCTGCTTTTCTGGGAAGCAGGAAGTAAGGCCTTGAGAAAGAAAGAAAGAAATCCCCAAGCTCTAAGGTGGTGGAGGGGCAAGAAATAGGGTTGGTTTTGTTTCTGAACAGGAAGAAAACAGGCTTTGTGTCAAGAAGTAATTTTGGTATAAATGAGCCAGTTATGACATAGCTTGTTATCGCTGGGGTTTGGAAGCATGTTTTCTCTAGAGTTAAATACGAACAGTAAGCTTCTAACATGGGGCTTTAGCCTTGTCCTTGGTGTCATGTGAAAGGTCTCTATTCATGTTCTGACTAGTTAGATGAGGTCCATCAGCAGGGGTTATTACTACCTCTGAGACACAGACTTGTGTGCCCCTCACGGGGTCCCTGATCATGGAGTAAGGACTATCATACCATGTTAATGGCTGATAGGCTGCCATAAGCTCCACCCTTTTCTAACCTTGGGCAAGTTACTCATTAGCCTCTTTGTACTCCAGTTTCTTCATTTAGAAGATTATCTACTACAAATAGTGACTATGAGGATGAACTAAATTCATATGATATAAAGCACTTGGAACATTACTTGGCACATAGTAAGTATTATTTAACTGTTAGTTGCTATTGAGGTATGAAAAGAGCAAGTACCTGACTCCCCAAACAGGCTGGAGCCCAGCTGCTAATGTCCAGGCTCCATCAGCTCCCCTGAACTACAGCCTCTTTAGACCAGTCAGATTCATAAAGCCCCATGCACCAGAGCACCAAGCCCCGAAAGCCTGACTAAAGGAAAATCAGACATGCAGATACAATAAGGCCCATACTGGTTGCTCCCCCACAGGGAGAGGAGCAAACACTGGTGCCAGCACATTTGGGGTCGGCTTTCTCAGTCACAATCCATGTGGTTTATCTGAAATGGGGTCAGGTCCCAGAGTGGGCAGCACAGATATTACCATTGTGCTTGCTAATCTAAACTGAGTCCATCACCATCGATCCTGAGATAATAGAGAGCTGGAGTCTTGAGAGACTTGAGGGGTGAGTTGGAAAATGTTCTTGGCAAAGAAGGAGGAACCATTTTTCAACCAGTTGCTAACAAATTAGTAACCAGCACTGAGAATCTCAGAGGAGATGTTCTGATTCTCTCCAAACTGCAGATTCCGGCACTTTAGAAATCTGACTAGGTACTTGAGCTGCAGGGAGGGAAGACACCCCAACCCACTAGCACCTCTGGTTTATTCCCACCCATGTCTCTGCAGCTCAGCAAACTCGGGCCAAAAGGTAGAGGCTGCAGCCTCTGCCTTGTATCTACAGACAGCCCTTGGACCAGATCCGATGCCTACTGCCCAGTCAGGAGGAGCTGAGTCTGGGCTATATGTGTACATCAAGGAACCCAGAGCCTTGTGCTCCCTTGCAGTGTCTGGGGTCTTGGCAGCTGGAAGTTCATCTAAGACAAGGAGTGAGATCCCAGGCCTATCCCAGATATACAAGAGGGGTGTGTCTCCACAGGAGTCCTTGCCCTTCTGCCCAGAAACCAAGACCTTCCAGAACTGGGAGGGCCATCTGGACTAATTGTGTCTACAAGTTATAGGCAATATGCAAGTTATAGGCAATTGTGTCTACAAGTTATAGGCAATTGAGCCTTTAGGCCTTCGAGTACCTCCTGGCCTATCACTAGTGCCAATAGGGCCTCACAGGAGAAGCCAAGCTCAGGGCACAAGAAGGAGTGTGGCCCTGGGACAGGGTCCACACTCACAGGTGGAGAGTTTCCAGATGCCCCTCGACTCAGCCTGGCCATCTGTTGCTGCCAAGGGAGATCACAGTACCTCAAGCCAGTTACTCCAAGGCAGCTAGCTGGAGAAACCCACTGGCTGGACTTGAAAACTGCTCTGAGGTGGCAGTGGAGGCTTCTCCTGATTTTTGCCAAAGAGCTCAATTCTCATGGCTTCTAGATGGCAGATTCACCAGGTGAGGCATCTTGGGCTGCCCTGTTGCCAGAATAATTCTCCCTACTCCACAGTCTATTCCCAAGTTACAGCCTTCACTTTAACCTGGCCCGGCCTCCTGCCCTGTCAGCTCCTTTCTCTGCTTGTTAAAATTCTAGGGCAGCTTCAAGGTCCATCTCATGTTCTTCCTCCTCTGAGAAGCCCTCTCTAACTACTCCGGATCACGTTGACTTGTCTTTTCTGTAGTGCATTAAATCACTACCACTTCTGGAGCTCATGAATGAGCATCTGGAGCTTTAATTCAAAGTAGTAGCTATTTCCTACAAATTGCATCTATAGCCATACTCATACCAATTAATTAATTAAATTGTTTCAGCTCACGTGTCCCTACAAGAGCTTATACCCCAGATGGACCCCTGGATCCTAAGCCTGTCACACAGCAAGTGTGTAACAAAGACTTTCTAGAAGAAGGATGGATCACTATGGTCTTGCAGGAGTGAGCTGCTTCCCTTTTAGCCCAGAGCACGGAAACTTCCTCCCTGGCAGGCAAGGTCCCTGCTCTGGCCTGCCAGCTCCCAGGTATCCCCTGCCAGCAGCTATTCCCTAGAGCTTCCCTGGGACTAAGCAAAGAGGGGTGCCAAGCTCTAGCCCTGACCACCATTTGTCCCCTATCAGAGGAAGAGAGGTTAGCAGGAAACGGATTTGACCTCTTGGGTGGCCAGTTTCTCCCAAGGGCTATTGAGGCTCCTAGAGGCCTGCAAAGGACTTCCCTTCCCTACCCTGGGCCCCATGAAAGGGAGGCAGGAAGAAGGGCCTCAGTAGCAGGCATCCAATATGGGGCTGGCCAGACAGGGAGGCCCCTGGGGTTGCAGCTATCAGCCGGAGACCAGGCTCCAGGAAGGAAGGAAGGGCAACTCTGGCCGAGACTGAGATAAGGAGCGGGGCGGCCGTACTCAGCACAATGGCTCCCACAAGGCTGGGAGGCCCAAGTCAGATTTTGCCCCAACTTGGCCTCCCGTCTGCTCACACAGCCCGTGTAAATATTTACTAATGTTTATATCCCTGCTCTGCTGGGTTCGCTCTGAGGCTCTTTCCTATGACCCACAGATCCATGTGCCTCAGACCCTGGGCCCATCCAGCAAGGGCTATCAGCATTGTTCTCTCTCATGCAAGCCACAGAAACAGACCCTTCGGGACAAAACTGCCCCATTGTCCCAGCCCTGGGACACTGCCGTCATGAAGCTCTACTAACCCCCTCTGGGGGTGGGGAACTTACGGGGCCCGGTCATGGGTGAGGCCGTTCTGCCGCTGAGGGTTGATTGGTGGAAGGACAGGTTTGCTGTTGATCTCAAGTCCTCTCCTCAGGGTCTCCCGGATCTGCTCTGTGTCTGCAACAACACCACTAAGTTGCCTGGTGGCCCTTTGGGCTCCCAGTATCCTCCAACCCTGCCCTTAGAACCTGGGTCAGCAGATGTTCTGAGGAAAGGCTCCCAAGAAAGCCTCCTGAGCCTGCTCTAGGCATCAGCTGTGAGCTGGAG